GTCACTCCATTATTAACATCCAGTGATTGGTTGAAATTAAAACTGATCTGAGACAGCTCTTCCCCTGAAATAATAACACCTAACATCACTTCTAGATTGAGACTTCAACTTCCCTGGGTTCATCACCAAGAACTCAGAGCACCAAGATCAAATCCTGAGTATCAGCTGATAGGCCTGTCTTCAACAAAACTCTCCCAAAAGTAAAGAGTATTTATGTGTATCAGGGACACTAATAGTATAGATTATCACCATTCATATTTTCTATATTATTAACACATCTTTAAACACAGATATCCAACTGAAAATTTGGAAGATGCAAAAAAACAGCCCGAAACTTTACAAAATTTATTAAAACCTCTTTACAACCCCGTTTTGAAAACTGGTCTGAGTTAAAATAATTGGAAGCTCACCTTCATCTGATTTAAATAATCGTTTTTGTCGTCTAATTGCCCAGGTATGATCTAAAACTCCAGAATCAGCGTCAGAATCATCATCACTACAAAATAAAAACTTTATCATTCTCACAATTATAAACATACTGCAGTGGGCAGTGAGGACACTGGCTTAGACTGTTAGAGAGTATTTAACATAAACATTCTACAGGAAATATCGAGGTATATAGAGCTAAATAGGTCAGTTGATAGACTGGAGGTCAATAACAGAGTTTAGAACGCCTTCCATGTGTGCCAAATTGGTACTGACAAAACCTGTTCAGAACTCTCTAATCAATTGCTAGCAATATTATAATAAACCATTTTCAACCAGGGAGGTAAAATAAACAGCCTTACCTGTCATCTTCAACAGGGGAGGTAGAATAAACAGCTGATTCTAATAAAAACTTGATGATTTGTAAGTTGCTCGTCTGACACGCTACCATCAATGGAGTGTCACCTTGCTTCGTCCGTAGATTGTGATCAAAACGTGGCTGAAACATATAAAAATAGAGTTGTACTTTCTGTTTTTCTGAGATAAGATTTGAACGACATTAAGAAGCGGGAAGTAAATATAGTAAAACAAGGCAAGGGAACAAATAAACCAAGTACTAAACCCCAATACAAAACCAATTATTTCATCAATTCAGACCAAATCCATGGCCCTGGGGACTTATTCTTGAAATATTTTCGAGTTCCAGTCATCTGATTGGTCAATCACCACAGCTAATTCTGAGTTAAGTTTTATTATCCAATCAGATTACTGTATTTATTAAAATCTGGATTATATTTAAGTTAAGTTTTGGAGAATAAAGTCCATGGTCTAGAAATAAATGTTGATTTAACTTACCAGCCATATTTTTTGTAGAAGAGAGAGAGATTTTTTTGATTTTTCTGTTAAAAGTTTCATGATATTTTTGGTATGTTGTTCTCGTTGTGACTCGATTAGTATTCGTACTCCCTCGTATTCTGTAGCTGTAAACAGGGAACCCTGGGAATCTAGTAACGCTGTCGTAGCTACGTTGTTGATTAGTGACCTCACTATTTTACTGTAACCTGTTAAAAAACAAGTATTAATACAAAATAATACAATACAAAGAAATAAAATTAGATTATTTTCACCGACTTATATTAATTAAAATATTAATTAATGTTCCATTCCTTTGCAATTATCACATCACCAGTTTATGGCATGTACACTCACAACTCATCTGCTATGCTGGGTATTAGAGGGTTTATTGTCTGAGCAAAGTAAAACGGGTTTTTAATTTTGTTTATTTTTCAAGAGAATTAGAATATCAGCCTCATAATAGTACTGTTAGTTTTAGAATATCTTTGTGTTGATAAAAATATATTTTTCTGTAAGTTAAAATTGAAAAGAATTTCTGTCCTGTGTAAAAACAAATTTTAAAGATATAATGTGTGCTATGTTTATATTTTTATCAACACGAAGATATTCTAAAACTAACAGTACTATTATGAGGCTGATATTCTAATTCTCATAAAAAATAATGGAAATAAATAAAAAAAACTTCAGACACCAGGACTGTGAGTATTAACTTGAAAATTACTGAAACAGGGTCACTTGATACACAAACTTCATAATTATGTCAAGTAGGAAATTTTATAGACGTTATGGAGAACTTCTTTATTGTAAGGTACAAATTCATCTTTATTTTGTATTAAAATATTTATTAAGTTTCCAGAAAATTATAATCCCAGGAATAATTTTGCTAATCGAGAGATTAAACTAAACCTACCTTTCTCAGCTGCAATCTGTAGAGGTGTTTTATTGTCTGAATCAATAGAGTTAATATCTAGTTTCCTCCGTAAACCATTAATAGTATACTGATTGTCTACTCCTGTTATCTTACAGAATTGAAGTAGATATTCTATTATATGATGATGACCCATGTTAGCTGCTACGTGTAAAACTGTGGCACCAGTAGTTCCATGTCGTTTCTTAATATCACCTCCTTTCTATAATTAAATATTAAACATTGCATTTAAGATCACATCAAAATATGCCCAGCTGAATTTGAGATCAATCCAGTTTGATTAAAATGAGATTTCAATTTCATTCTGTTATCATTTTTCATCAGTCTCCAATCTAACTAGATTTATACCAGTCACGTACTGTTGATGTTCATTTCAACCAATCACAGCGCGTTATGCAGAATCCATGTCTGAATATTAACTATGAATTGAGGGATAGAGAAACCCAAAGTAGATTGATATGATATTAGTTATGAGACTGTAACAGTGATTCTGATTGGCCGGAGAGGTGTGCGTGATAGACTGCTATAAATAGCTTGAAACATCACCAGAACCTTGGTATAAATCTTGTTAGATTACAATCGAGACTGACAATAAAGAAAGTAACAATACGAAATTATAATCTTATTTTAACTAGATGGAGATCCTTCAGGACTGAAAATATTAACGACCAGTGAAGGGGATTCGCACCCTTGACTCTTACTAAATGAATGATAGATATAGACCCCTACCTTAGCAAACGTTAAAATAGACACACACTGTTCCCCAATCATTTTCATCATATAGATTTGGATATGTTTATGGAATCGTACCTGGTGATTACTATGTACCAACTAAGCCATGAGGTTAGGTAAGAGTTAGAAAAGAGTTAGGTAAGAGTTAGAAAAGAGTTAGGAAAGAGTTAGAAAAGAGTTAGGAAAGGAGATGTAAAAGAGAGAGAATCTTACCTGATGTAAAAGTCTGACGACATCAAGATGACCATTTTCAACAGCTAGATATAACGGCCAACTACCACTACCACTCTGTAATAAAACAAACAATGTAAATTCTCCTGGGCCTGTGTTTTTGTAATTATATATTGTTTATAATATATTATAATATAACCAGCTCTAAACTATCAATCAATTAAAATGATATAAATAGTTTTACTTTCTTATTTTCTACACCTGATTTGACCTCACGAAAAGTTATTTAACTATCAGAATGTCTACTGTCATTTCATTTCATTTTAACATTATCATAATGTGCAACCAGAGTAATATGATTAGAGCCAACAGTTATTTGACAAGCTTGGGATTGCTGCAGTGTACAATGAGGGAAATTTTGTCAGGACAGTTCTATTAATAATTAGGAAGTGTCTATTGATACAGCAGTCTACTGTATAAAACAAAAGATAATATGTTGTCTGCTGTAGCGATAGAGAATATATCTCACATCACAGCAGTGTAATAGGATGATTTGTTAAGATTTAGGAAAGGGTGGTCATGACTTGTATTTTGTTGAATAGAGTGCAGCTGCTTTTAGGGTCTTTGTACAGGTGTACAGGTTGTAACTTTGTACAAATGGCAAAGTTACGAAAGCACTGGCATTGGCATGCTACCAGAGTAATGTCAGTAGAATTAACAGTTATTTCACCAACCTTGGGATTAATACAATCACCTTCGTCCAGTAAAACATACAGTTGATCAGCATCACCGTTAAACGAACATGCCAAAAGCGTCGGTGTCACGATTTCTTCTTGTCTCTTGTCCCAGGCTGATTTTAATCTCATGTGAATAGACGATTTCTTAGACATTCTAATAGCTTTATACAGGCCCTGTAATAGATATATATATAGAGTATATCTTAGACATTCTTATAGCTTTATACAGGCCCTGTAATAGATATATATATAGAGTATATCTTAGACATTCTAATAGCTTTATACAGGCCCTGTAATAGATACATATATAGAGTATATCTTAGACATTCTAATAGCTTTATACAGGCCCTGTAATAGATACATATATAGAGTATATCTTAGACATTCTTATAGCTTTATACAGGCCCTGTAATAGATACATATATAGAGTATATCTTAGACATTCTTATAGCTTTATACAGGCCCTGTAATAGATACATATATAGAGTATATCTTAGACATTCTAATAGCTTTATACAGGCCCTGTAATAGATATATATATAGAGTATATCTTAGACATTCTAATAGCTTTATACAGGCCCTGTAATAGATACATCTATAGAGTATATCTTAGACATTCTAATAGCTTTATACAGGCCCTGTAATAGATACATCTATAGAGTATATCTTAGACATTCTAATAGCTTTATACAGGCCCTGTAATAGATATATATATAGAGTATATCTTAGACATTCTAATAGCTTTATACAGGCCCTGTAATAGATACATATATAGAGTATATCTTAGACATTCTAATAGCTTTATACAGGCCCTGTAATAGATACATCTATAGAGTATATCTTAGACATTCTAATAGCTTTATACAGGCCCTGTAATAGATACATATATAGAGTATATCTTAGACATTCTAATAGCTTTATACGGGCCCTGTAATAGATACATATATAGAGTATATCTTAGACATTCTAATAGCTTTATACAGGCCCTGTAATAGATATATATATATAGAGTATATCTTAGACATTCTAATAGCTTTATACAGGCCCTGTAATAGATACATATATAGAGTATATCTTAGACATTCTAATAGCTTTATACAGGCCCTGTAATAGATACATCTATAGAGTATATCTTAGACATTCTAATAGCTTTATACAGGCCCTGTAATAGATATATATATAGAGTATATCTTAGACATTCTAATAGCTTTATACAGGCCCTGTAATAGATACATATATAGAGTATATCTTAGACATTCTAATAGCTTTATACAGGCCCTGTAATAGATATATATATATAGAGTATATCTTAGACATTCTAATAGCTTTATACAGGCCCTGTAATAGATATATATATATAGAGTATATATTAGACATTCTAATAGCTTTATACAGGCCCTGTAATAGATACATATATAGAGTATATCTTAGACATTCTAATAGCTTTATACAGGCCCTGTAATAGATACATATATAGAGTATATCTTAGACATTCTAATAGCTTTATACAGGCCCTGTAATAGATATATATATAGAGTATATCATACACTGTAGAAGAAATATCTTTGCTATTAGACTGTTCTATAAATCAACTGTTGAATATTGTGAAAGTTCACTACTAGATAAAGAGAAATATCCTACCAGTTTACTATAAAATCTACTTACAATAAAAGCCACAGGAAAAAACTCGAGAATAGTTTCTACCACCGCCTCATGATTGTGATAAACAGCATGGTGAATGGGAAGATAACTCTCCATGTCTCCAATACACGGATTAGCACCGTTCCTAAAATATTACAATAATAAACAGTTTTACTACCTATTTAGTAGTGACAGGTGACTCTTTTGGAAACACCTGATGGTACTTCTGTTTGGAGGAGTCCACTACTATACAACTTTTACTCCATATTTTACTATTCTTCAGAAGACCATGCTTATTCTTTTGGAAACACCTGATGGTACTTCTGGAGGAGTTTACTACTATACAACTTTTACTCCAGATTTTACCATTCTTTGTACGATATATTTGATTGACAGAATTGTCTTGCTTGTACGGTCTTTATTTAATCACGTCAACATGGTTCAAGGAATGTGTATTTAATTCAGTGGCAATGACATTACAGGGGTACATTTTCCTCTCCCTAGATAAATGGTTTGTACCCTCATCTCATTTCTAATAAACAACGAAATCAACCAAATGAAGGGAGATAATTTGAGCGTATTAAACGAGAAATTCACTCACCTTAAAAGAGCTCGAACACAATTTTCATTTCCTTTCTGAGCAGCAATAGCCAATGCAGTCATTCCAGTCTAAAATTAGATAATTTTACAATAAATATTAATATATTACTTATTACTAGGTTACTAATATACCATTACATTCTATTTTACAATAAATATTACTATATTACTTATTACTAGGTTACTAATATACCATTACATTCTATTTTACAATAAATATTACTATATTACTTATTACTAGGTTACTAATATACCATTACATTCTATTCAAGAAATTGGTAACTGTTTGGCTGAAATTACCAGAACTTCAAAATATAAATCAGAATAGAAAATATTATAACAGAAAGAAAACCTTCTAAATTTCTTTAGAGCTATGATAGCTGTTTACTAGTTTTATAAAATGGATTTAACTGATTTTGTTTTGCGGACATTCTCTGGTGACATTATTGTTTTATCTTATAAAATATGGATTAAGACAAATGATGCCAAGAAATGAGTATGGTGTAAAGAAAAGTTATTAATTTCACTGAATCATATAAACAAAATAACAATATTTGGTAAGTTAGTAGTCTTGTTTTAGAAACTAAAAGTGCCACTGATATACATAGACCAGAAAAACTCTTTACAATACAGTAGCTAAACTATCATAGAGACTGGTTGAACCCCCACCCCCAGACAAAATACAGAATCCTGGGTAAAGGGCCCCAAACCACTAAAGTCTCTATTCATGTATTTCAGCCACTGTAAGAGTATATTTTATAAATGACAATGAAAGTTCTACCTTAGAATGTTGAGCATTAATAGTTGTTTTATTGGTAGCCAGTAATTTTTTTAAAATGATGGACTGATCGTGAATGGCTGCCACCATAATTAACGTATATCCATCATCATTTACTACAAACATATCAGTATACTGAACATCATGATATCCTAAATTACCCTGAAATAATTCACAAATACTTTCAATATTTCTAGCAACATTGTCTTCTCAAAAAATCTCCTGTCATCAGAACGTCTAGCGAGATGAATGAGAAGGATTATATAAATATATAGCCTGTAGAGCTCGAGGATTTATAAATACCTTATTCTTGTTACGTCAACTAGACACAGGGCCTTGGTTTATTGCCCGCCCCAGTGGAAAAAATAGATTCTATTTCCATGTCAGCCATTTGAACTGCTCCCAGAAGAGTAAGGTATTAAAACTAAGTTTTATTTTGATAACACCATACACTAACAAGTCATCTAAAATTATTCTAACCTTCATAACTCCTTGACTTAAAGTCTCTAATCTTTTTAATCTGTTAAAATTAATAACTTCTCGACAATCGTCAGGTCCAATGCATGCTGGGACATCATCAGGTCGTCTACCGTCGTGATCTTCAACGTTAACATCGGCTCCTCGTCGTATTAAACATCTAAAATTATATCACCATGAAGATATTAGACAATAGAACTAGAAACAGCGACCCATTCTGAATAATTATTAAAATAATCCATGGTTACTTTTACCACGATGCTATCAGAATCATTCAACTCTTTTCATGGGCACAAAATTTTACAATTTCACCCACAGAAATTGTGGCAGGGTACATTTATAAAGAAAGTTGGTTGTTTTATTTAATTGTTGTCTTATCTTAATTCTCCACTACTGTTTTAATAAGCACATAATTACTTTACACTGACCTAATACTAATGTTCTTATTATTGCCCTCTCTTAGTTTCTTAACTGAACTGACCTCACTGGACCTTGTCACCTTGTGTCATTGGTCAGCTTAGTGAGTTATCAGTGAGTTTCATCACCTATCAGAAACTTTACTTTTATCTCAGTCTATCAAGTAGTAGGAAACTTAATTTCAACCTTTCTGGATTTAGTGATCTTATAAATATATAGTAATGGCAGCCATCTTTAAAGTCTTTGGTATGTTAAAATGATACTACGTTTTAGAATGAACATAAAATTTAAGTTCTCGAAATGGTCAATATGAGTATATATTCATCAGTCAACTTACCTGGTGTCATAAAGTTACAACAGAATCCCTGTAAAATCTAGAAAATTGGAAAATTCATAAAACTAAGTAATTATTGAAAAACTAATAATCTTGATATTAAGTGTTTTTCAATAGTTAATTGCATATTTATTAAGTTTTTTTAGATTTATCAGATTATATAAGGATCCTGTTATGTTATTCATAACACCAGATATATCTACTGGCTCTTATTCGCCAAGTTTAAAATCCTTCAATTTTATGTTAAGACGTAGTATCACTTTAAAAAGCCTCAATATTATTATAATTATCTTTCATTATAATTAACTTCAAAGGTTTTTGGTTTGATCAGAATTTTGAGATAATAGATTGTTTAACAACTTTATATAAAACTCAATCTTTGGATTTTTACTTTTAATTCATATATTATATTTATTAGTCCAATAGCATAGAATTATTGAAATATTTATGAATAATATTGGTATAGAAGTGTAAATAAGTATTTTATGTGCATAGATATAGTTTTACTGTGATGATAATATACTGAGATATAATTAGATTCCCTCCGTCACATTATCTCCCTTGTGTTCAAATAACACCCCTATTCCTCATACTTCTTTATTTTAATTACATATTCACACATCAAAATTAGCCCTTAAACCTTTCTAGGAAATCTCAGCCAATCAAAACAAATCACTCGTTATGACGCTATGTTTGCGAACGTAAACAGAACGAAAGCAGCGTGTCATTAAATATTTTGATTAATATTTACGGTACAGAATTGAGTAAGATTTTCGGTAAAGAAGTCGAGAGAAAATCAAACCTGACTTGGGAATATTTACTTGGAAAGAATATGTTCTTATCTCTTCAAACAGGTGGCGACAAAGCGATGTTGTGTTTTGTTTACATGATCTTATTTCTTTTCTACAGATCTGATTTGTCAGATTTAAATAGCACTAATCTAATTTCCACACCCACAAAATGACGTGGTAATATAGGTTAATAAGACACTGAAATATAACTATAATAATAAAATACACCTACTCCACTGTTTTCCTATGATTCCCCTCAACAGCATAATGAAGAGCAAATCTTCCATTGTTAGGGTTGGATTTGTTTGGACTGGCACCAAATAAACACATTAATACCTAAAAATAGATATATTGACATAAATATCAAAATATAACTAGAAATATGTTTAAACTCTACCACTGACAGTCAAATAGTTACCTCTTTCAGAGAGTCTGTATAGTCACTCATGTTTATTTAGTATTTAGGTTTGTCGACATCAGTTTCAGAGAGTCCACATGACTTCCTAATAATAAAAGAAGTACGTACATCACACAAGACACTATTTCCTGTTATAGCTGACAACATTAACGGTGTCATTCCTTTTCCGTTACATAATTCTACGTCAGCCATTTGTATTTTTACTAACGCCATTATTAATGGAAGCTGACACAAACCTAGAAAATATAAACACAGAATATATTATTATTATTATTATTATTATTAATATGTATTTATATAGCACATCTTTCACCTGAGAGCCCAGGGGCACTAAATAATAAAATATACGTTTAAAAATACATACACAGATATAAAAGAAAACAATATTTCAGGTAATAAATAAGATAAAATGTAAGAAATATTGCCAAAAATATCAAACAATTGCACAAAGTGCCATTTCGAAATTTCAATAAAAAATAATATTATCTGTACATGTATATAATATTTCTAGAACAGTATAATATATTATGGTTCATTGATTAACTTCTCTTAATTAACTGACAGTTTGACTTATTGACTTGACCAGTTGTTAACTTATGAAATTGGGTAAATTCGTATTTTTGTAAGGAACGTCACAACCCTATGCTTGATGTCTGACAGAGGATATTGACCGTCGGTCATTAGAGCTGCCCTGCCAGTCATGTCAAGCATACAGAGCCAAATCAACATCCGTGCAGTATATTATAAAACTGTTTTTCTCAGTATTTCTCTGTCCTGTAAACAGTTGCTCATGGAAGTGTGTATATATTGTGATGTCTTTAACTCTTCTTCTTTCAAAATTAACTCAAACTAATATTTAGGAGTAGAGATCACAATATACTAAAACAGAGGTTTTCAACCTTTTTCTTTCTATTACCCCTTTCAGGATCTTTTATTGATTGTATAACCCCCTCCCCCTTACATAG